ATCTCTCAATGTGATGTGATTTTTTCCATGTGTTTGTTTGTAATAAAACATTCACGTTTCATTACGTACACTACATTCCTTAGTTAATTGTGTTAAGTATTGATGTATGTACAACAAGAGTCAGCTCAGAAATGTGATCTTTTGACAGTAAAAGCTAGAACTTATTCCTTCCTACTCCTTATCTCATCCTTCTTTTGTTTCTTGTATGTCCATTTCCCAGCCTTTCTCATCATTTATTTCCCTACCCACCATCTTGTATCTCCCCCAACTGCCTTTTCTTCTCAGTTCCTTAAAACTTTCTTTCCAAATTTCCTGCTCTACAGTTACTCAATCTTCCTCTCCTAATTTCTTCACCTTTGTGTAGCCAGATGTAGCAGTATTTGTTTTAACTACCTTTGATGTCTTGCTACTTTACGCTGTGAATCTGTAGTTACTGAACATTTTGGCTCTCCGTATCAAAGTCTTGTAAAACTTTGGTTTATATGAAGTTTTTATAATGTGGTAGAATGTGAAACAGACGTTCTTGTTTTTAATCTGCCAAAAACACTTATTCTCTTAAGGTTTGTCTTTGTTAGAACATTCCTATAACTATATATTAAATTGCTGGCAAGTTGATATCCAGGTGTGATACAGTGATACTTTCTGAGTTGGTATTAAAGTGGAACCAGTTGAACAGAATATGATATATATATAGTGGTAAAGATTCATCTTTATAGCATGTATATTGTGGAGAAGTTGAAGTTGTTAGCTAGTGGTATAAGGTAAAGTTGATAGGATATCAAGTTGAAAAGTTGAAATGGAAAGGATAGATGGTGGTCTAAAATGAATATGATATAGTGTTAGATATATAAATGAATATGATATAGTGGTAGGTATCTATATGGATAGGATATAGTGGTAGGTACATATATGGATAGGATATAGTGGTAGGTACATATATGGATAGGATATAGTGGTAGGTATCTAAATGGATAGGATATAGTGGTAGGTATCTAAATGGATAGGATATAGTGGTAGGTATCTAAATGGATAGGATATAGTGGTGGTTAAAAAATTGATTGGTTATAGCGTTAGGTAATAAATGGATAGTGTAGTAGTAGGTACATAAATGGATAGGATATAGTGGTAGGTATCTAAATGGATAGGATATAGTGGAAGGTATCTAAATGGATAGGATATAGTGGTAGGTATGTATATAAGTAGATAGGATAAAATTGTAGGTACATAAATGGAAAATATATTGTGGAAGGTATCTTAATGGATAGGATTTAGTGGTAGTTATAAAATGGATAGGTTAGTGAAAGGTATCTAAAGGGATAATATATAGAGTTCGATATAAGACTGAGTAGGATATAATATTTCAACTAGATAGCATTTTAGTGGTAGTGAAGAATGAAAACTACCTTAGTACAATCTGGGAATCTGGGTTACTCCTTGAGTTATGGAGAGATTGTAGTGAAGGAAGAAGCCATTTGGAACCATCATACATCTTCATGCATTTCAAACACCTGCCTCCATGTTAAGATATTTAAGTGGAAATTAGAGATTGTAGATCTATATTCTGATTGTAGTAATAACATTCTCATACTCAACATTCTAACATCTTCCAGGTGTAAATGAATGTTTATATTGGTAGGTTGAAGATATTGAAGTATACACAATATATTCTGTATATTTATTGTAATAGGAACACCTGAAGTAGTTTTACTCAAGGCTGAAGTATGTGTACAGTATAAATTTTTATCATGTTTTGTTAGTAATCCTTACACAAATTGTCCAATACTTGGTATAAATCATGGTAAATACCTAGTTATGTGCTTGTACATATGTAAAATGCCATTGGTTTAAATACATCTGGAGATATTTATTAGACTTATGAGAATTTTAATCAACTTTATGTACAGTGAATTAGTTTACAGTCTGTTTGAAAAACTTTAAAATAAAGGTTTCAGAGTATTATATATAACCGTGAGTAAGGGATTAATTATTAATTAGACTGTGATGTTATTAATTATCAAATGTACTCATTTTAAATGATATACTATTACTTGCTTTAAGCCAAACTTATACCAGCATTTCTGAACTTTTGAACTGATTAATGAAATCACAGCAACTATAACTTACTATGTATATATCTACTGGGAGTCTAGTGTTTTTGGTGTTCATGTGCGGCTTATTTGTAGGAAACATTTCACAACTTCCTGTGTGAATTATTTGATAGGAGCCTTATGCAACTTCCTGTCCGACTTATTTGTAGGAAACATTTTACAACTTCCTGTGTGACTTATTTTTAGGAAACATTTCACAACTTCCTGTGTGACTTACTTGTAGGAAACATCACACAACTTCCTGTGTGACTTAATTGCAGGAAACATCACACAACTTCCTGTGTGACTTAATTGCAGGAAACATCACACAACTTCCTGTGTGACTTAATTGCAGGAAACATCACACAACTTCCTGTGTGACTTATTTGCAGGAAACATCACACAACTTCCTGTGTGACTTATTTGTAGGAAACATCACACAACTTCCTGTGTGACTTAATTGCAGGAAACATCACACAACTTCCTGTATGACTTATTTATGGGAAACATTTCACAACTTCCTGTGTGACTTACTTGTAGGAAACATCACACAACTTCCTGTGTGACTTATTTGCAGGAAACATCACACAACTTCCTGTGTGACTTACTTGCAGGAAACATCACACAACTTCCTGTGTGACTTATTTGCAGGAAACATCACACAACTTCCTGTGTGACTTATTTGTAGGAAACATCAGACAACTTCCTGTCCGACTTATTTGTAGGAAACATCACACAACTTCCTGTGTGACTTAATTGCAGGAAACATCACACAACTTCCTGTGTGACTTATTTGCAGGAAACATCACACAACTTCCTGTGTGACTTATTTGCAGGAAACATCACACGACTTCCTGTATGACTTATTTATGGGAAACATTACACAGTTTCCAATCTGACTTATTTGAGGGGAACAATAATATAGAACTTCCTTTCTGATTTATTTGTATGAAAGAATTTGTTGCTTTTTGACATGATTGTCTGCGCAGAGTCTAATAGAAATTTGTGACAAGGAAATATATATCACCCCCAGTTAGTACCCTGGATGCTCCAGGTACATACATCACCTCCAGTTAGTACCCTGGATGCTCCAGGTACATACATCACCTCCAGTTAGTACCCTGGATGCTCCAGGTACATACGTCACCCCCATTTAGTACCCTGGATGCTCCAGGTGCATACGTCACCCCCAGTTAGTACCCTGGATGCTCCAGGTGCATACGTCACCCCCAGTTAGTACCCTGGATGCTCCAGGTGCATACGTCACCTCCAGTTAGTACCCTGGATGCCCCAGGTGCAGGCATTTTGTACGGTTCACTCTGCATTAATGCACTGATATGTTTGAATGATAAGTGTGTATGTTAGCTATTAGTGTGATACAAATAGATGAGGGTTACAGGTATAGAGATAGCCTAGGTAGTCTGTGTTGGATGGTCGGATGCCAGCACATTGATTTGGCTTGGTGTGTATATAATGATACAACAGTTAACTACATTTGTATGTCATTTTGGGTACAGACACAACAGGTGCCCCCCCTTGTTCTCCCTAAATACCTGCCATACACAATCACTGTCTACACAACACATTATAACCTGGCCAGCTCTGTCAGGTATATAGTACAGTGAGTGTACCTGGAGAACTCTATCGAAGTCAATAGAAATTTGAGGAATTCCTTAGGGTTTTATAAAGAATGTTTCATAAGGTTCAAGCATGTTGATGATTACTTTTTGTATGTCATGTATGTTTTCATTAAAGTGATAATTTATCATTCCTCTGTCATTTCAAGGTCAGTAGCATACAGCATTCATCATTTCATTATTGTCGTAATTTCGTTTTCTGGCTCCTAAACTATCACAGATACAGATATAGAACTGTTATTTGGTACTTGTCCTGTCATAATGGTATTCATGTCAAGATTAATTTGGGTGTGGTAATTTCTTAATTTTAAGTGAAATTTTCATAAAACAAAAAGACCAATATTGGAGAGCCTTGCCTAAAGCAAATAGGAATTAAGAAAATTGAAATCATTTCACTTAAATCTGAATTCAGATTCTTTTCCATAAATTCTGCAGGCAGAACTTCAATTTTATTTCATGAGTCATAAGAACAAAAAGCCGATAACACCGAAATGTTCCAAACTTCTCCTTGGTTGCAACACACATCTAGTTTTCTTTACATGGTATTCATATTGATTGAAAATGCACAGGAGTAGTGTAAATTATGTTCCCAGAAAAGGAAACAGATAAAGCTGTTGCTGTTTCTGCATCTCTCTTAATTGTCATCATTTCTTACTGAAAGTATCTGTGTTGTATAACATTCAAGGCCTGGTCATTTTCCCCTGGTGGCCTCTTGAATTTCTTTGCTCAAAATCAAACCAGTGCATTCTTTTTTAGGATTGCTTGTGGGGCACAAAGGTTCAAGGTCAAAATCACTGTTACTATAAATAGAAAATTGTTGTTTGATCACTCAATTTTCCTTTGGTCAGTTCAACTCTGAACTTCTGTAAAAAAAAAACTGCCAAGAAGTAAAGGTTATTCAGTTTATGAGCAGTGTTGCTATGAAATGAAACTTGGTTTCCTAGGGTTTCTTAAGCACATCAACCCAAATTTCATTAATAGTTTGCTTATTTAGAATGCTTGCTTAAAATAAGTGATTCTAGAACGGGATTTGTCTTTTGATAATCATATTAATGTTGGAACACAAGCAACACATCCCCTGCGATGGAATTGTGAATTTGCATTAAAGATGGAGAGGAATTAATTTTAGATCTGTAAGTCATTATAAAGTGGTTGCTTTCTGAAAGCATGAGATGTTTGTGATTCTGAGGGACATTGGAAAAGAGATATATACTTTTTAAGTATCAAACATTTATCATTCTGTTACTTTTAAGTTTTATTGTTCTGTGTGTTTTAGGCATTTGAAGATGAGCTCAAACGACGTCAGAGCAAGGTTGACTCCATCAGTCAGAAGGGTGAGGAGCTTCGTCATGAAGGAGCCTCTGCTATATTAGAACCAGAACTTGCTGGTTTGAATAAGAGGCTTGCAGATGTCAGCAACCAGGTGGTACGATACAGGGGACAGCCTGTTACGGAGGAGACAACTGCAGACTCTGCATTCATCTCAAGGTCAAGGGCACCAGCCTTGATGACTTCTCCCATGGCAACATCAAGAAGATCACCTACACAATTCCTCGACAGCCTTCACAAGATCTTGGACCAGATTGCAAACATACAAGGAATGCTAAGATCTCCTGAGCTGCACAGCAAAGACTATGAGAATCTCTCCCAACAAGAAAGGCTTCTCAAGGTAACTTACACAAACTTGAATTCGAAGAATGTCACCTGCCATAAGGGAACTCTATTTCAAGACTGTCACACACCAAAGTCATTGAAACAGTGCTGGATTCTTTCAGCAAGGTGCACAGTACTAAAGGAGATAATATTTTTTCCCTATTTTGATGTCATTAGATTTGGAGGAGTGTCATATCATTGTGATGGTGAAATTTCACTACAAAATGACCCTTTAGATGGCCCAATTTCAAGAAAGCACTATTCTCTACCTAATTGCAATGATTGGACTATTTCAAACAACTGAGTACTTGTCCAGATTTAGACAAATTTTTAAAGCATTTTTTCTGTACCTTCTACACACTCATTTAAACTGTTAGAAATATCTGTATAAAAAAAGTAAGAAAAGTATCTTTTCATCACCTTCAGAAGGTGTTTAATGGTTCAGGGTTTGATATCAACTCTATTTACATATGTATATAGATATCTTTAAATATGAAAAAAATACGGACGGTCTGTGTTAGCCTGGTAAATACTAGCCTCAATATAACACTTATCTAGAGAGAACTCAGGTTCTCAGGTCGAATCGGTTGGGCAGAAGACTTGTAAACCAGAATGATCCTAAATCCTATCCCTACTAGAGCCATTGAACCTTTGGTCCACTTGCCACCATTTAGAGTCCTGGAAGACATTTACAGACACAATTAGCCTTGCTCCAAAAGCATCATTGTTGGTGATGGAACTTGAAAGATACCTACTTTTCTGCAGGAGAGGGAGTAGGTAAACCTGGAAAATTCTTGTCTAGAGAGGTCTTCTCTATAGCTTGGTTGCCAGAGGTCCTGGGTTTGATCCCTGAGGGAGGCAAAGAAAGGGGAATGATATCATCTTCAGTTTTCTCGTTGGATAAGATAACAGGCATTTTTATGTCTGTCATTTGTACCTTCTAAAGACCTTGGAATATCTGATGTAACCTGGTAATGTAAATGTTATATAATCTGATATAAATAAGTGCTTTTCTGTATTCTAAATTCTGAAGATATTTTGTTTTACAATATGCAGAAACATTAGATTGCTAACATACTTTAGTGTGATTTTTGACACATCAGCCTTACTTCAAAATAGCTTTTAGTTAGTTTGTTATCAGATTGTAAAAACAGCCACTTCATGTAAGATTCCTGTCAACATCTCATTAAAAAGTGATAGACACTCAAAAAATTTGGAGCTATACTCTTTCAGCCTTTGAGTCATCTTCCCTGTCCTTGATTTCTCTCAGTTTCCATACTGTTCATCTTTAATTTTTCTCTGTTTCTGTGCTGTTCGTCTTCAATTTCTCTCCGTTTCTGTGCAGTTCATCCTTGATTTCTCTCTGTTTCTGTACCCTCATCCTTGATTTCTCTGTATCTCTGCTCTACCTCCTTGATTTTTCTGTATCTGTGCTCTCTGTCCTTGATATCTCTCTCTTTCTCTGTACTCTACCTCCTTGATTTCTCTGTATCTGTGCTCTCTGTCCTTGATATCTCTCTCTTTCTCTGTACTCTACCTCCTTGATTTCTCTGTATCTGTGCTCTCTGTCCTTGATATCTCTCTCTTTCTCTGTACTCTACCTCCTTGATTTCTCTGTATCTGTGCTCTCTGTCCTTGATATCTCTCTCTTTCTCTGTACTCTACCGTCTTGATTTCTCTGTTTCTGTGCTCTACCTCCTTGATTTCTCTCTCTTTCTGTACCTTGCCTCCTTGATTTCTCTGTCTCTGTGCTCTACCTCCTTGGTTTCTCTCTCTTTCTGTACTCTCCCTCCTTGATTTCTCTGTCTTTGTGCTCTACCTCCTTGATTTCTCTCTGCTTCTGTGCTCCCCCTCCTTGATTTCTCTCTGTTTCTGTACTCCACCTCCTTGATTTCTCTCTGTTTCTGTACCTTGCGTCCTTGATTTCTCTGTATCTTTGCATTCCCTCCTTGATTTCTCTGTATCTTTGCTCTCCCTCCTTGATTTCTCTGTATCTTTGCTCTCCCTCCTTGATTTCTCTGTTCCTGTGCTGCTCTCTGTGTCTGTGCTTTTCGTCATCGTAGGTTTTCTCTGTTACCATGCTGTTCATCCTTGATTTTTCTCTTTTTTGTGCTGCCTGTCCGTTTTTGATATGTGATATAAATAACTTTTCATCTCCGCACTAAAAACATCAGCTTTGCTTATGTTTGGCAATAGTGGCCCTATATATAGGTTTTCAAATACAAAAATATTTTAATTAAAACTTTGTAAATGTGAACCAGATGTTTCCATTAAAGAACTCTCCGCTTGATGTTTGTGTTCAACCATAATCATGACTTCAGCTATGCATCATTTCCTTTGTATGCTGATAGTAAGTGATAGATTAGATAAGATATCGGAAGTGTTTCTGTATGATGCAATGAACTTAATAATTAAAAATGTATCCTGACATTTTTGCTGGAAATTTCACACCACAATGAGTGAAGATATGGGCTCAAAGATCAAAATAGATATCAATTGAATTTGATTTTTTTTCAAATCATAAATTTAAGATCTTAGATACCACCTGTTAAGGAAAAAATCCTGCTGTACGGCACTTTTATGATTTTATCCCATGATATGCCTGTATGTTTTATGTCTATGTAATCACCTTGCAGGCTGTTAGCTTGTCACTGTATATTCAGGCAAGGTAAAATCTGCACACCCTTTAATTTGAAAATAGTCAATGCAATAGTATTACATGAGGTTGAATACATTGATCTATAATCTGAAGGTTAGCACTAATTTTTGTTAATTTTGTCATTTTAAAATATTTTGTTTACAATTAAGATTTTTTATGTGTGTTGAGTTGTAGAACATACATTGATCAGAAGTTTGAAATGCATCTTTTCAAAATGGTGGCTATTGGTGACCATCTTGGATTCAGATCTGCCTTTCTGAGGATCCTCTTGAGAATTTTTAGCTAAATTCAAATAGTGGAACTGAAAAAGCTGTGATGTTCATGAAAACTGTCATTTTGCAATCATGGTCATGACTTGCCACTGTCGATACTGTATTGAACATTTGACAAGGACTTTTTGAAAGTTAAATGAATATAATGTGGAAATACTGATTGTTTCGTTTGCAGAAGGTGAAGGAAGCACTGAACCAGGTACAGCCAGTTGTGGAGGAAGCTGAGCGAGGCCGACAGGAAGTACTACCCCACTGTAGTGGGGAGGAGGTGGGCAGGCTAAGGCTGGACATGGAACAGGTCATGGCCGAGTGGAGACAGGTTAATGACACCTACATCACCAGTCACAGGTCAGTGAAGGTTCACATTATCCGACACTACTACATCAGTATGATCCAGAGTGCCTGTGTTTTGGTGATACAGGTATTCCATTAATCTGTCTAAAACACTACCTCAATACCTCAAAGCTTTGTTTGATGAGTTTATCATCTTGTGAATGGTCATTTTGAGGTAGAGTCTTCCTATAGTAGGTGGTGGCTTCTTCACTGAACAACATATGGAAGGCCCATCACAATGATGACATGGTCTGCCACAGAAACACAAACGGCCAGAAAAAGGAAGCATCAAACTATACAACTGAGGTGGTTTCGCTGACACGCCCACCTCCCCTCTCTCTTGTATTCAGACCATTAGCCATTTGTATGTAAAGGTCACAATGATTGACCCATACAATCAATCGTACTGGAATCTCTATATAAAGGCCATCTGTCTATAAAGGCCCCTTTTCTCAGCTCCTGTTAATGGTATTTTTAGATAGATGGGACTGTAATTGTTATATTTTCTTAACCATATACCTGTAGTTATATAGTTATTTATTGTCTCCCCCTCAGAATCAGTCTATGTAAATCCCAAAAATTTATGTGATGTTAGAAGATGACACCCAGACTTATCCTTTCCTATGTAGATGTGGAGAACTATGCGTACTCTGATGACACAGACAAGTGTTGGCACTCCACATCTAGGATAAATTGTTGATTCTCTGATCACTAGATTCCTGAGATCAAACAACGTTCGGCTGATGTTGACTATCTCTAATGCACCCTAGTAGTCCCCCTACACATACATATGTGTAATACTTAGATGAGTAGGCTAGGGGATGTTTTCCTTCTGCAATCACTGGTTTGTACTCTGAGAATATTAAAGGGGCGTATGCATCAGTACCTCTGAGGAAAAATATTTAAAATGACGAAAACCTCTCTGATAATACTTATGATATTTTCATAATGTAGAATTACATGGACAACAGAGGTCTTAAGGATTTTCATGGAATAGATTAGATGATGTATACATTTTACATCATTTGTTCAAAACAATACTTAACCATTGATTAAGCAGAGGTGATGGCCAGAAATTTCATTGGAGTTACCTCCCTTTAAACTATTCAAACATGTCATAAAAAAAAAAGATAACTTTCTCAATAAAAATGAAATATGATGTTTAGATTGATAACTGACACCCAAAGTTTACTTTTGGCTAATTCTGACCTCTCTGTGTAGATTGTTATTTAAGTACATGTAGGTAGGTTATAACCTCTCTTATACCAAGGGCTTTTGGTTACCTGTTATCATGTTTCTTCATAAACCATTTAGATCAAAGTACTGTTATTTTCTTGTTTATTGACCCCAATAAACCCGAGTCTGACCCTTGTCCATGGGTGGTTAGATAATTAACTGTAAATTTTCTTGTTTAACACACCAACCCTGCCTGAAATGGTGTGCTATTTCATGGTTCTGATAACTTCCCTTGATTAAAAGTCTGTCTTGATTAAAAGTCTGTCTTACCTGGCCAGTGTTTTTGTTTGTCCCAGTGTTAATAACATTTTCTCCACTATATTGGTATATTTAACCCCTGCCTTGATCTCATTGATGTGATTTGGTCTGTGACTGGACAATCTAAGTAATTTCATTAACATATTTGATCCTGACATTTATCTTATTATCAAATTTTTTTTTATACCAATATACATGGCGTGGGTCAACTTAACAGCTTCATTAAGTTATAGAACACTATATTGATAATTTGATATGATAACAAATACTCTCAAAAGCAGACATCTACTTTTTAGCTTTTTTCATAATGTTAAAAGTTAAACTGTCATACTTCAGTGTAGACAATAGTGGGAGGAAGTATTATTTATATATTGTCTACTGAGATTGTGTACCAAAAGTTTTGCCCTTTTCATCCATGAACAGGGACAGCAATTTCAAAATAGGGCAAACATTTGTTACACTTATATAAGAATAGATAAAAGTCTAACTCTTCTATATAATCCTCAGAGAGTGAAATAAATTTGAAGCAAATTTGTGTATAATGGTATAAGGTTGAAATTAAGGTTGGGCGAAAATATCACGGCCCTTATACAGTGTCCTATACACATCACTGATGGTACCTCAGACTTTAAATGACTGTGAAGAATGAAATGTCTGTGCAGTATTACGATAAATTTCCCAATTATCCGCATATACTTAGTGTTAGTATATCAATGTCCTGCGGTATGTCTGTGGTCAATGGTATGACCATTACAGATAAAAATGACCACACATGGTTTGAACGTAATCACTTCTATTGTAAGTAAATGTAGAATAGAACATCTTTCCTTTAACTTTAACAAATTTGCTAGTCCGTGTATACAAAAGGCTTTAGTAAAAGTTTAAACAGAAACCTACCCGATCTTTATCGTTAGGTCTGTAATAGTTAGCTGACCACCCGTCAGTCGTTAGTGGTCAGGCGTGGGACAGGTAATGGAGATATACACCTGGGAACTTGACCTGAGTAGGTCATCACCTGTACTGTTATAGGTATGTTCAGTGCCAGGTAGACTTGGTCAGCTGTCAGGAGAATTAATCTTTAGGGTGAAATCTACTCCACCCATGAAAAATCGTTTTGTGACACTTATGTCAATGATGCTGATTATTCTTGGTGATAAAGACATCATTGTGGAAGTTAGTCTCTTCTAACTCAAATTTGTTTCTAGTTGGATTATTGTCAGCGTATCACATCTTCTGGACATTGGTCATCCTCAGGACATGAGGGTCAGGATTTTTAGACAATACTCTGAACTCGGATCCAGGGCAGTGGTCTACAGAACTGTCCTTTAAAAACCAGACTGGATGCATACCTGGACTGGACAATGAGAAATTGTCCTTTATACCTTTACATAGGATGTGTAAACATTTGTAGACATTTAATAATCTTCCATATTATGTACAGTAAGGAAAAATATTATTTTGGCAATGACTGAAGTTTTTGTGAGAGGAAAACCAGTTAGTACTAGATATTGAACTAAATGTACAGAACTGTTTAAAATGTTGCCCTGACTTGTCACCAGTACGTATCGTGAATATAGTTGATAATGAAATTGCCTCTTGACTTGGATGGGACTAAGTGACCAGATGTATTTCTCGGAGTGCCAATACTTACTTAAATGTTCATGTTAGCATTCATCTAGAGCTCAGGATGGCCAAAATCCAAGGTCGAACTTTTGTGGTCAAGTACGACCCAGAGAAGTTAATGTAAGTACTTTTATTACTTACCTGCAAACACTTAAGCATACATAAAAATACCTCTAGCAACATACAAAGCATCCAGTTAACCTTGTACACTCATGCAGAAATTCTTAAATCCTGATAGCCGCTTGCACGAGTACACATCATGTATGTATTGTTCCCAGAAATTTTGATATGTATGTTAGAGATAAGCTTCACATTTGTACAAGATGAATGAGAGAAGAATATTCTTTCCCTTTTTCCTTCCTTACATCCTGATAATATATTGATTACCAATCAGTCGCTGTTACAAGAAATTGTTATATTGCTTATATTTATGCAAATTTGGAAAATACAGAATTTAGAATAAATAATTCATGAGGATTTGTGTATATATGACTAGAATAAAGTATGCTAAATTTTCCCCTGTCCTTACTTTCAAGAATGGTCATGAACTTAATGAAATTTCTTTGTTAAAATTTTCAGTAGGAAGTTATTGCTAAATTTAATGAAAAAGTTCTTCATTGCGATCTTTTGCTAAACTTTATTAATGTTTTCTTGAAGCAGACTGAAGTTACGTAATTTCCACATGTTAAGGAACGTTTTTTGAAACTGGAGTCTGGGTGAATAAAATTTCAAATGGTCTGTTTCACGACGTTAGGATGACATTGGTTAATGCTGATGTCTCCTGTGCTGTGAAGAATCCATACAGCTTACAGTCAGTATCTGCCGATTTGACAGATTGATACCACTTTTCGAAAAGACATGAATATATCTGTGAAGTAATTCTAGATGTTTGTTGTGCTTTAAAGACAGATGATCAATACAATGTGCAGTTTACACGGAAACGTCTGATAATCGCAGTGACAAGTCGCATCATTTTTTCTGTACTCTACGTCATAGCCATCACATCCTGTAGCTTCTTCTCAATTTGTATCAAACAGAAAATAAGACATCTTACAAATCTGCTTCAGTTTGTCACGTAAGGTGAAGGCGGAACCGACAGTGATAGTTTCAGTTATATAGATTCATGTCTTTGCAGAATAAGCTGTTTATATCTGAGCATGTCTCTACCTGCCTGCTGTTCTGTACTTCAACAAAAACTTTACAGCTGAATTATGTAGTTGTTCCTGTTATTGACAAACATGTGCACACACCACAGCCTCTGCTCCCAGCCCCCACCCATTGGTCCTAGCCTATAGCCTCGACCCTGATAGAAACCCAAACAGGTCCTACCCTAACTAAGCACTACAAAGCCTTTATTTTGTTTCAAGGATGCAATTTCTGATAGCTCTGAATATCATATATTTCTTAAAAAATCATGGCATCACTTTGTATTTGAAATCAAACTTATCTCTATCTTTTGTATAAAAGAGAGTAAAATGGAATCCATCTTTTCATCATCTTAACAAATGTTCTATTCCCATGCTATGATATTTCATTACAGGAAATTTATCATGATTTTTTAAATATGTTCAAAACTCTTCACATCTATTGTACATGTGTGTATTGTTTAGAAAAATGATAAAAATATATATCATTCTATTGATAACAATTTTTACTGTTCTTTAAAACAGGAAAAAACACAATGTTCTATCATTTTGTATATCAATTCAACTTATTTTTTCTACAACAGACAATTTCATCCATTCACTGATGGATTGTCAGTGGTATAGCCACAGAGGATTTGAATGTCATATATCATGTATTATGTCCAGAGGATCCATTACACTGAAGGTCATGGAGCGGGCTTATTAGAAAATTATTGGTTTGTAATTTACTCACTAGCAATATGATATGGATAG